CTCTAAATATCGATTTCCGCGCAAATCCTTCGACAAATAACTAGTGTGAATTCTCGGCTCTTTTGAACTTTAACTGGCCGCCATTTTGAAACGGTTTGAGTTATCGACTTCGGGTTTGCGGAAAAAGTTTTCTTTCTTTATGCTCTTTCAAACGAGTCATCACAAAGGGGGTCTTTCCATTTGAAAATTAAAAGTTTGGGTCCCTTTCCCCCCAACGGGGGCCCCCTGAAAATTCTTGGGAGGCCAAAAAGTAGCTCCTTTTGACCTTGGAACATCCCCCAAGTTTCAAATATTTAGCTCAATTAGGTAAAAAGTTAGAGGGGGTTGAAGGGACTTTTGGATCACCCTGTATTAATACCAAATTATGTACACATACATCTAGTGATTCCTCATCATTTACAAATCTGAGTGTTCCGTTAAAAACCTTACAATCGATGCAGCTCAAACACAGAATGATGTATTAAAATGGAAGAACATTTTTGCCTATGCATATGCGTATAGGGCCCACGAAGAGGGCCCAGGGGGTTGGGCCGCGTACACTGAAACAAAAAGTCGCTTGGATCTAGAAGCCAGACTCTTCATAACATTGACAAGAAAAAATACTCTTGATTCAGACGGATTTTTCCTTGAATCGAAGAGCCAAGCTTCTTGATTTAAGCGGATTTCCTTTCGATTCAAACAAAACTCAGATTGAACCAAGAGTACTTTTTCTTGTCAATGTTTTTAAGAGTCTGGACTCAGGATCCAAGCTACTTTTTTCCGATGTAGCGGCCAGGGGGCGGAGACTTCTAGTATTAAATACGTATTCATATACGTATCTGATACAATATAAAATAAAACAGAAGGAGCAAGTTGATGTCATATTTTTATACTGTATTTTTGGAAGTTATGCATATTTTTTATTTATATATACAGGATGTACCAAAAGTCCGTCCCACCCCTGCTAACTTTTGAACGAATTGAGCTGGGGTAATGAAACTTTGGGAATGTTCCTATCTCAAAGGGGACCATCTTTCGAGGGGCCAAATTTTCGTCCCCCCTCAGGGGGGCGCGGGGGGCCCGAACTTTTTTCTTCAAAGGGCAACCCCTATCTTGTGACACATCATTCGAAAGAGCATAAAAAACTAAGAATTTTGGGGCAAACCGCAAATCAATATCTTAATTTTTGACCGAGTTATGATAGGTCAAAGGTCAAATTTGACCTATTTTCAAAAAATCATAACTCCGGTTCAAATTATCGTAAAGAAAAAAATTAAACGGGAAAATTTACCAAATTGTGTCCGCTTTTAAGTAAAAATTGCAGAAATCGCTTCGCTTTAATTTTAAGGGGGGGCTCGGACCCCTAAATACGTCAATTCAAAGGTCATTCAATTTTCCCGCGAAATAAGCCAATTTCCCCTAGATTTGCCTCCATATTATCTCAGTAAGGTCAAAATCAGTTCAACATTACGTTGGCAAGTCTCCAAATTTCGGGAAAAGTTAAAAAAAAAACGAAATTTAAGGCGATTAAATTTGACCGTTTAAATTTCGTTTTTTTTTAAACTTATCCCCAAATTTGTGGACTTGCCAACGTAATGTTGAACTAATTTTGACCTTACTGAGATAATGTTGAGGCAAATCTAGGGGAAATTGCCTTTTTTCGCGGGAAAATTGAATGACCTTTGAATTGACGTATTTGGGGGTCCGAGCCTCCCCTTAAAATTAAAGCGAAGCGATTTCTGCAATTTTTACTTAAAAGCGGACACAATTTGGTAAATTTTCCCGTTTTATGTTTTTCATTACGATAATTTGGACCGGATGATTTATGATTTTTTGAAAATAGGTCAAATTTGACCTTTGACCTATCATAACTCGGTCAAAAATTAAGATATTGATTTGCGGTTTGCCCCAAAATTCTTAGTTTTTTATGCTCTTTCGAATGATATATCACAAGATAGGGGTTGCCCATTTCAAAAGGAAGTTGGGGGGACAAAAATGTTGACCCCCCCCCCCCCCCCCCC